CTTCTTTATGTCTTTTTTTTGTTTTTTGTATTTATCCTATAAAAACCGTAATTAGCGCTAATGATAATATGTATTACCCAAGACAAAAATTATGGCATTAGCACACTTCAAGGCCGTTCACTTAGGTTTTTTATTTAGCAGTAAATAAACTAATAATATATAAGACGCAAAACATATTTAGCTAATTATTCTGATATCATAAAATATACCTTAAACAAACTAGATTAAATTATTTAATGATCGTCTGTTCATCGAATATTGCTGCCATACCTGGTCTGTTGTTCCTTTAATGTAATCAGGCCTGACATGGCAAGTTTTCATGAATTTCAACCACCAGTACTGCTAAACGTTCTGATAACGTCCACGCCAAATGTTTTCTGGATGAAAACAGCAGAAAATATGAAACTCTACCATTATTTCCAGTAGAGAACAACTGAAGCAAGTTAACTCTTATGAAACATGGTTATAAATAATTTAATAGATTAAAAAGTTTGTATAATAATATGTCGTTTGAATTGTTGTCATAAAAATAAACGATTCTAATTCGAATATTAAACACCTAATAACTTAAGGTAAAACAGGCTACTAAATCTGGCTAAATACCCTATTTTAAAACTGCAAAATAAAGTCATCAGGTCGAAATTAAATGACTTAATGAAAATCTTTCATCTTTGGGGAATCCATATTTTATGCTTCCCTTCTATCTTCTAATGGATCTCTTTATATATTAAGATTTTTTCCGAACATTTTTCCAAAGATATTTGGAAATTCTGAACTGTTTGCCAGTCGTCTGCCACACCAGCACGGCAAGCATCCTATCATGAAGTGCGTTAATTATATTTCTCTGTGGAAAAAAGATCCTAGAACCGCTGCCGGTGGTAAAGCAATTACTTGCTTCATTAAGACAGTTGTTCTTTGTGCGACGGCAAAGGAGAAAAACCAGGAAAAATGAGCGATACAATCTCGTTTACAAAATGTTTATTCTTTTCTTTAGTTTTCCTTTTTTTTTTCTCTTTTACTTCTTTAATCATGGTAAAGTTTTATTCAACAATATTTGTTTTTCATATATTTCAAATGCAAGCGTTTTATATCCTGCCAGATGCACACAAAGAAAGATTGTCTCTTGAGACAACTGTAAATTTCCCATCGATTCCAGAGGTCGATCTTTGTACCAAGGCGCACTCTCATATTTCAGACGCTGAAAGGTCATTACCACTGATAGATTAACAAAATATAATCATTCTATCTTTAATTGACGACTGCTTATAAGACTAATGTTTAGATTGATTTATTTAAATTGAAAAATGTTTTAAATTGTTAAAGAATAATTCTTTTATTGTTAGTGAAGATTTTTTAGAATTAGATTAATTTTTCCAGATACAAGTCTTACTTTTGAAGCGATGGCGGGGGTGGGAATTGATTCATACTTTTCTCAAAGATATTTGCGCGTAAGTGAATGTAATGAATTAAAATGAAATTCGAACTTGGATCCCCGACTTATCATTCTGAACTGTTATCCATTATAACACCCACACATCGAAATGTTGATGTGTACCTATCTCTTTTGATACGTCTTTGTGGAAATTCGCTGTGGTGCTAAATACGATGGAATTAAATCTAATTCAATGAGGATGCTCAGTTTTAGCGTGATTGTCATGAGGTACCCAATGTGATGCGTAGATGTATCGAGTGGAAAGTCTTAGTTCTGTTGTCTTATGTTAGAATTAAAGCAAGATAAATCCAGAATACTGATTTTAACTCGTTAATGCTCACCATAAATATTAAATCTAAAATGAAAAATCCTGCATTAATCGAGTCTTAAAAAAAGATTGTTCCGGCAATTTTGTAGCTGAGACCAGACCGCAGATTCGTTAGCAGGGCGCAGCTTCCTCTAGTCGAACGCTTTTGGCATACATTAGTAAGAAAAATAATTCTTTGGTGATATCATTACCGACGGAATAAAACTATGATACGAAATTTTAGAAATCAGTAAATTTTATTCTATTGCAACCTTCTCGTAAGAGCGAGCTGGACGCGTGGAAGCGAGGAAAAATGAAACGAAGTGAGGGGGATAACTATCTAACTGATATGAGCGAGCTGCCCTCTCTGCTTGAGACTGCTAGGGACTACTGTCTTATAGAGAACCAGACTTCTTTGCCAAGTCATTTTTCGTCTAAAAAAGTAATTAATCGAGAATTCAGGGTTCTTAGTGACCTCCTTTGTCAGGGTCGACTGAGCTATTTTCATGAAGTTCGCCTCACTCAGCTAATCTTTTTTGTTGATACGATAATTGTCAAAACGATTTTTGTAGCATCCTGCAATTATCTCTCTAACAAGATATCGACTGACAACTAATATCGCTACAGTAGGCAAAGAAAGAAAAGCGGCGGCGGGTGTGCTAAGCTGGACAGCAAGGTAACAGCAGCCGTAGCAGAGAAAGTTTTAAAAAAAGTAGTTTTTAGACTTAAATAATATGTAAGAATATTAGGCATAATAGTTCAAAAAATATCGTCGGATGAAAAAAAGCGTTGATTTGTGAATTTGGTGATATAGTAATTGTAAGTTCAATCCCTAAGCCAGGAAGTAATGATATAGTCAGGCTACATGGAAATACGACTAAGAGTAAGATAACGAGTCGTGATGTCGAGAACAATCTGTTGCAGTAAAGTGAATAAAAGGTTCAGGTTCACTTTCTGAAGGTTAACCGAAGTACAACAATCGAACTGTTGTAATTATTATTCCGATTGTAAAACTCTATAAAATTATAATTTTATAAAATTTCAGTTATTAACTATACTTTTCTGCCCATAACCAAAATGGAACAGTGAACATTAATGGGTTAAACTAATTAAGAATTCTTTATTTCTAGTTTGTATGTTCGCAGAAAGAAAAATCATCAGATTATTTTTACAATAATCTTCATCCTATACAAGAGTCATTCGAAGTAGACGGTTGCAGATCCAAAGAAGTAAGAGGCACCTGTTTATGAGGCTATGTGAAGAAGATAACTGTTAACCCTAGACTTGAACCGGTTAAGATTGTGAACAGGTAAGCATCCTCTTGTGAATCGGTCTCACAAAGTAGTGGTCCGTGGGGAGAAGCTGTATCGAGTGAAACATCTCACCAATAGGGAATGAGATTGGTTCGCTACGGTGTACGTGGCATGGTGGGTCTTAGCCGTAAAGGTTAGGACTGGATGTAGTTCGTCTGAACACACTGTATAGAAATTGTGACAGAGTAGCGAGAAGCTTGTAATGTTTTATCTGTTCGAAAAGGGGTTGTAAGGCGGAAAAGAATCCATCACCTCCAAGACTGTAAAAGTTTTTGTACTCTATCGAGACTGGGAATTGAATGTCTATATATGGCTGCAGTTCTCCATTTTCGGCTTGATCTGGTCTCTTGCGGAGATGGAGCATAACAGGAGGAGTCAGATACTTACCGATTATTTTTCCAGCATTTAAGATAGATCGTTTGCGCGAATTCCACTGATGTCTGGGGCGAGTCCCGATAGGCGTTCGAGGCACGCGGCCTCCCTGAGAAACATATCTTCGTGGCGATATACGAAAATCTAGGACCGGCCCGGCGATGACTGAACGTCACTAGTTTGATTTATGTAGCCTTGGATATGAGCAGCCAGTTTTCCCCACTGAAGTGTTATAAATAGATCAGAGAAAGGATCAGCTGCCAGGCTCTAGTCATCCAGAATTTGGGGAGTTGGACTATATACCGTTGTATCATGAGCATAAATATCCACAAAAAGATCGGAGTATGCCAGTAAATCAGGAGTCAGAACTAAGATTTTACTGGAATAATTTTTGCCAATATAGTGGTTGGAGTTCAGATGATATACTGGCCTTTTAGCTTTTATATGTATACGAAGATACACCGATAAACCTTATTCGTCCAAACCGCTAGCTGCCTATCGAAAATATAGGGCACCACATTTAAAAGGGTAAACACCTCATACTGAAGAAACCACAGGAGAATGATCTGCCATCATTAAAATCTGTTTCTTTCAGTTCACTTCAATGACCATAACACTATCTGTTACTGCACATTATCATCTTAAAGGGTTCGGTAAATACGATATTTCGTAGTCAGAACTGTGTTGTATTCGACTCAGTTACATACAAATTTAATTTGAAAGTTCGGAATTAAATTTAAGCGTTAACAATGTCATACTAACCTAGCTTGTCGATGACATCCTTGAAAACACTTCTATGGAAAATAAAATCGCTCCTTTTAATCTATATAAAAAAGTGTTATTTTTATCAAGGTTACACTTTTAAATTTATAAATTCAAATTTGGGTTTAATCAGAGAATATAACTTCGACAGGGTGACCTCTAACTAACAACATCCCGCTTCTTTGTTTATCCATTGCATCGATGAAAAAGAACACAGGCGTGTTCGAAAGTTCCAACTTTAAAATTTCTCTTTTCGTGTTTCGTTTCAGTCCAAAGGTTAATATGTAATAAATATTAATTTTATTGACAATATTGGTATCATTTTGTTTTCTTTTTATCCTACAATTTCATTAACTGGCCTATTTAATCTCCCCCCTCTCTCTCTCCATATATATATATATATATATATATATATATATATATAACTTGAATTAGGGGTATAGGGACAGCAGATCATTATTGAAACAAACATTGTTAAATATAACAGACAACGAATGTCTATTATGTTTTATCATGAGCCTTTCGAAGTGTCGTATAATGACTTTAGTTTCAATAGAAAATAAACACAAAACTGTCTCATGGTCAAGTACGACGTCATAGAATCGCATTACAAATTTACAACTTATATATATTTGTGTGAGGCAGTTCCGTTTCTTTTGTGTCGTCACAGTCAGGGTTCTTTTGTCCGAGGTAATTTGCACATATTGTAAAAAGCTAGAAGTGGCGGAAATCTAAATGCCTATCCGAGGCAATGTCTCTTGCTCATTTATTCTATTTCTATGGAAGATAAACAGAAAAGAAATGAAAAACTTACCGTTTTTCTCCCACGTCCACGCGATATGATTCCAGACATTATTTGCAAGTGTCACGTTGGTTGTAATAATTTTCCGAAATATCTTAAATATCAAATTCCTTCTACTTGTAATTCTCAAAAGGTTTGTGTATTCCTCATGTTTGTAGGAGAGTATGGTGTCATCATCAAGATAGTTTCCCTTGGCTCTAACCCAAAAGGCCACTGTAAGTCGACTGACCTGCGGGAAGGCTTTGCCAAGAAGGAGGGTGTAGCGTACCGGCTTCTTCCTGCTAAATTCCAGACGAGAATCCAAAGCCGAAGCTAAAAGAAAAAAAAACAAGAATAGAGAATGACCAAAATGTTAATAATTATTTTCATCGCTGGAAAAGTAATTATTGATTACGTGATAGATAGATAGATAGATAGATAGATAGATAGATAGATAGATAGATAGATTGATTTCAAGCTACTTTCATCTATATATCTATCTCACTCTCAGTTTTTTTTATCTCTCTTACCAGTAATTATATTCTGCAAAGTTTGAATCAGTCACATATATAGGTATATGCGGATGCATACAAGTACAAAAGCATAAACAGAAACACAAAACGAACGAACATACGCACATATATACACACACGTAGAGAGAGAAATAGGCATACTCGCAAGACAGACAAATGAAATAGATAGATAGATAGATAGATAGATAGATAGATAGATAGATAGATAGATAGATAGATAGATAAGTCTACCATTTGTCTATGCTTTCAATAGTGCTGCCACATCTGGTCTGGTTCTTATGGTATGTATTTAGTGATTCTTGTTAAAATCCAAAGAAGAATCTGCAATATTATCTGTTCTGATCTGGCCTCTCAGCTTCAGCCACATTCCCACCTCCGTAACATAGATTTCCTGTGCCGTTTCCATAATTTAATGGTAATTGTTCTTATGAGCTTTGGTACATTGACTTTGCGAATTTAAGCGCAGTTTTAAATTGGAAGACGATCTCCTTATTATACAGTTGAGATGTTTAGATGTAACCGTAAGTTCTATGCTAACAGTTTCTTCCTTTTTCTAAATACGCCAAGACAAAAGATACATATGTGTATCCTTTCAATCAATTAGGGTCAGAAACCTTTCATTCTATGCCTGATGTTGTATCTGGACATTTATTATTATTAAAGTTTCTTCTCTCATACGGTTTTTCGTTTTCAGTAGGAAATGTTTGCATTTGTTGTCCATCAGGTCGTACGCTCTCAAACAGAAAACACCTTTCGCAAAATATTTGCAGAGCCAAGCAACACGGACTTCTGAAACGACGTGATACTAGGATTTATTTCAATTTTCCTAATGTAGGCCTCCTTTCAATGATATAGATATCAAACGCCCCCAATGATAATTGGGACAACAGTGGCACGAACGTCACACATTCTAGCAACTTCATTCCGGACATTAGTGTATTTATTAACCTTGTCAATTTCTTTGACTTTGATATTATGGTCAACAGCCATTATTATTATTATTATTATTATTATTATTATTACTATCATTATTATTATTATTATTATTATTATTATTTTTCTGCTATGGACACACTACCTACCAAGTCTGCGGGAAGACCTAAGGCAGGTCGTGGTGTGTTGTTATAGCCACATTTCATGTTAATTTAATTTTTTTTTTTTTTTTATCTCCGATGAAGTTGCTAGCGTTACATAGACAAAGTTCTCCTTAGTGTGTGTGCTGTATTAATAAGACAATTTTCTGTATGTCTCTTAAGCTGGGGTTTTTCAGGGATTCTTTCAATGTGTTGTTTTTGTTCCATTTTTATAATTCCAAGTGCACCTATTACCACTGGTATTATTCTTGTTTTCAATTTCCATTTTTTTCTATTTCAATTTCCAGGTCTTTGTATTTTGATAGTTTTTCAAATTCCTTGGTTGCTATGTTACAATCCGCTGGACAAGCCATATCAATTAGTAGGCAAGTTTTTTCTTTCTGGTTTTTGACAATAATGTCCGGCCTATTTGTTTCAATTTTTCTGTCTGTGTGGATCGTATAATCCCATAGAATGGTGACATCTTCTATTTCTGTAACCGGCGCTGGCCGATGTTCATACCAGTGTTTGCTTACACATTTTCCAAAGTGTTTGCACATTGTCCAGTGTAAGTATTGCCCCACTCTATCGTGACGATTTTTATATTCATTTGGGGCAAGTATAAACATCCTGAGATTAGATGGTCTATTGTTTCTTGGTATTTGTCACAGAACCTGCATTTTGGATCCACATTATTATGTATGATATTTGCCTGAAAATTCTAGTGAAAAGACTCTGGTCTTGCGCTGCAAGAATAAAGCCTTCAGTTTCAGACTTTAATCCAGATGCTCGTAACCATCGATGAGTATTAACTTTATCAACATTGGGTTTATTTGCACGTTCTGGATATTGGCCATGCAGAGGTTTGTCTTGCCAGCGTTGTTTCATCTGTTCAAGGGCTTTATCCTTGGCTTTCTTTTTCATATCTTTTGCTGCAATAGTTGGTTCTTGGCTTCTGTTTTGATTTACTACAGAATCTACTAAATGTAAATGTTGTTTGTATTTACTGCCTTCTTTTATTATTGAATATTTTTTTTTCTGTTTTCATGTTGTTTCACTAATTTTATCATCCAGTCATTTGTTGTTTCCATGTAAGTTAGTAAGCCAATAGTTGTTGTCTTGTAGTTCTAGCTGAATAAGACCTCTTCCACCTTCTTTACGGGGTATGTATAGACGGTCTACATCAGCCTTTGGATGATGCATCTTATACTTAGAAAAGAAGCTTTCTTGTTTTAGAATCCATTTGTCTGATGTCATTTAGAGTCCAGTTCAAGATGTTGAAACTATATTGGACCACTGGGATGGCAAGGTTATTAATGGCCATAATTCTGTTCTGAGAATTCAATTCAGTTTTTAATACCAGTCGTACCCTTCTATAGTACTCTTTACGCACTATTTCTTTCATTTTCTTATGGTGAATTCCTTCACCTCATTTACACCTAGGTACTTATAAGCCTCCTTGTTCTAAATCTTTTATTGTTACAGCAGGTCTAAACTAATAGAGGAAGTTTGTTGTAATCCTCGTAAACTGTAGCTTTATTTATCCAAATTGAATTTCATTCCAATGTCTTCACTGAAGCATTTTACAGTTTGCAGAAGACCTTCCAGCTCATTGTCATTCCTAGCATACAATTTTAAGTCATCCATGTAAAATAGATGGTTTATTTTCTTTTGAGCTATTTTGTAACCGCATTCTGTCTTGTTAAGTTGGCTGGTTAATGCTATAAGTGATATGCAAAATAATAAAGGAGACAAAGAGTCACCTTGAAATATTCCTCTATTGATGTTTATTTCGCCAGACTTATAGGTTCCATTTTTATGATTGAGGTAAAGTGTAGTTTTCCATATCGACATACATTGTTTGATGAAATTGATGATAACGGGTGATACCTTGTACATACAAGATCCAGGAATGTGGTACACTATCGAATGCTTTACGATAATCTATCCAGGCAATACTAAGATTTTTTTTTTTTCCACGGAAGCAGTTTTCCAGGATCATCCTATTAATAAGTAATTGGTCTTTGGCATCCGTAGTTCGTTTGCACCTTCTTTTGTTCAAGTATGTCATTTCTTTCCAAGAAGAAATATGTCTGTTTTGTTAAAATAGATGTTAACAGTTTGTTTGTTGGAAGACATGTAATTGGTCTATAGTTTTCGAATATTTGTGTCACTATTTTTGGGTAGAAGAAAGGTAACTCCTTTGGTCATCCATGCATTTTTAGTTGGATCGGTAACCATTTCTTTCAAGTTCTTTGGCGAGTTTTTTGTGTGCTGTATTTAAATAATATAGCCAGAAGTTAGGAATTTTATCTAGATTCTGTTGTGTTCTTTTTTCAGTGCACATTTAACATCTTCTTCTGTGATTCCCGCCCATGTCTGTTCTGGTTTATTTTCATTCGTTCTAACTCTTGCGCAATCCAATCTGCCTCTTCGTTGTGTTCTTTATTATTTTCCCCAGAACTGTATAACTTCTTCCATTTTAGGGGGACTGTCAAGTTTCCCTGTAAAATTTCTTTTTGCATCGGTTTGAAAGATCTTGTTCTGTCTATAGATCTTGATCTTTTCTCGTAGCGTCTTATTCTTTGAGCCTTCAGTTGTATTGTTTGCTTTATTTTTCTTTTTATTTCATTTTCATTCCTGATATTGTATTTTCTTTCGACTCTTCTGCCTTTTTTCTTACATTTACTCCTCTTGCTAGTTCATCGAGTACTGATAATTCACTTCTAAGGTGTTCAATTTCTTTTTCTATTTTTCTTTCCAAGGTGGATCTTCATGTCTGTGAGACTTTTGATGTTCAGTTTATTTGTTGCTGCTATTGCTGATGCATATATTGCTTCATTGAGATTTATATGAGTGTCTTCTTCATCCAGAATCAATTTGAGTGCTGCATTATAGAGCTTAATAGTTTTGAGGTTATGCTTTGTTGGTTGTAATTTTGGGAGTTGTTCTCGTTCCTCCATTGCAATATTCTGTATCTGACTTATATGGCTCATGATTTCATCCTTGGCTTCTTGTATATTAATCTTGTTTTCTGTGAAATAATTCTGTTCGATGAATTTTGAACTCGTTTTATTACCGTTTAAGATCATACCTTTCCAACATTTCTAAATTTTCAGCATTATCTTCACAGTGATTTGTGTGTATTTCGGTTTTTTTCATTATGACCTGAGGCTTGTGTGATGTTATTTTTTTTTCCCGATTCCGGTTCCTTTCATGTTTTGTTGGTTCATCTATTCTTGTTGCAATTCTTTTTTATTTCATTAATTTCAGCCTCTGTCAATCGGTTATTTCGCATGATGTCCCTTCTTACATTGGCTAGTTTATTTTTGTCTATGTTTTCTAATTGTTTGTCAACCTTCTCTCGCCAAATGTCATATGTTTGGCAGTGATATTTTCTGAGGTTTGAGTAACGCTTCATGGAATGCAGTCATAACAACTTTGTACTCCTCACGAGACCATTTTATTTTTTCTTTCCTTAAATTTACGGTTATGGATCTAGCTGGAGAATTTACAGGACCATCATTAGGATTATCCTTTGTCAAAGATTTTCTTTGTGTAGGAGTTTGTTCTTGGCAGATTTTTCGACCTCATAGGTTCCCTCCTGAAGGACGGGCTCCCTGTTTATCCACTGAAGAGCCATACTACGTTTTGTTTCTATTTTAATTTTCATTTATCCCACGAGTATCCAAAAGTCCATTGCCCGGCACGTTGATAACGGTCTTTTTACAGACAGGGTTCCGAAGCCTACCTCATAACGCAGTATTCACCCTCGGCACGATTAACACCTTGAGTTAGTTTTCCTCCTAAATTATTATTATTATTATTATTATTATTATTATTATTATTATTATTATTATTATTATTATTATTATTATTATTATTATTATTATTAAGTCAAAAGAGGAAAAGGCATAGACTGCACAATAATAGTTGTAGTAGTAATAGTTTGAAATTGCTGAAAAAGCCGAGATAACTTGGTTTTATTACAAAAACGTTAATAGTCAAAGTTCACATGTTTTTAATTTGAACTGAAACGCATATTATACAAATATTAAAATTTATATTTTTACTTATATCTTTTCCTGTCTTTTTTCGCTACGCAACTTCATTTCTTACTATCGTCATTACATTTTGTTTCCAAACTTCCATTGGTATTTC